TCAGAGGGTACGTTATCGAGCGAGTTTCGACGGAACGAGAGACGGGACAGGGTGGGATGAGCCGAGACGGAGATACGGGAGTGCATTACAACATTAATTTCGGGGTTCAACGCTCTTCGTGGGTAGGTATAGGTACAGCTAGGCTCACGCAAACTTCTACCCTCCATGTCTCCTCGCGATCGTACAAAATGGATAGACAAGTCTACCTTGCTTTCGTTTCTTCGAATCTCTCGCCTGACCCTTCCCGTTTCATCGATCACTGCGGATTCCTCGAGTTGCCCTTCTTTCTTTCTTTATACAAACGGCAAGAATTCGTTAATATTCTGATTATACAGATGATGTCAGATTATAAGTAAACTGCGGATTTTATGAATTTATTATACAGCCGAATATGGGAAATACGAGCATATACTAAACATAACAAAAAGTAAATATTACAATTATCATATTATTATATTACTTATTAATTATTATATATTATTAATGCATGGATTATTGATGCACTCTTCTGTTTAATTTGATGCGTTCAAAAGAAAAGCTCAAGGCGCACTAATAGACTTTTGAAATCAGTCGAAAAATAAATAAAATCAAATAGCTCTATATATAGCGAAACGTGAAACAGAAGTAAAGGCACGGTGTACAGTCGCGTGCTGATATACAGTTTTGTACAGCTCTCCCTACCTTCTGTGGTTCAAGTTTTGAATCGTCGCGGGTACACCCACGATCGTACAGAGGTGTACACCTCCGGTGTACACGGTGTCCCGGCGATTTCGGTATTAAATTTCGACGTGTTAGTCGGACACGCGTTTAGCCGTGTGTCATGTGCCACTGGTAGACGATTTGTCGCGCGATATTTTTAAACGTCGTCGCCCTTAGAGCGGCCGTTGCTGCGGCGAAGAGTGAAAGAACCGTGTGATAGCGGCGAAAAGTGCAATCGAGGATACGTTGGACGGGACGAGGGGACGAGGGAACGGGGGGTCCGTCCCGTATCAATTATTTCTTCATTTATTTATAGGCAGGGCCACGACACCGCGGTATCACCGTTGTTTTCCATGATTTCCACTCGCTGAGACCTCCCGTCTTCGTTTTCCCTTTTATTCCTCGCTCGCCGCCAAGTACGGCGCGAGTTTCCATCTTCACCCTTCCAATTTCCAACGAATCGTACGCGCTCGATCGAGCATCGATTATCGAGACACGTGTCGCAATGGGAACTTCCAGTTTGGTGAAGCAACACATGCACGGCCGTTTTTACCGGTTATGTTGCAAATCTGTTGAAATGTCTGTAAGGTGTACGTGGACACTTTTAAATAAATACACGGCTTAAAGTCTGGCTGAAAGGCAATATTAGCCTGGCAGTGAACGTGTTAATGGTCATTCATGAACATATTTGTAATAAAGAGAATATGTTATTTCTAGACTCTCCTTTTCAGGGTAGGAGTAACGTGAAATTTCGAGTACGCCCAGTCTCGGATTAAAATTTAGTAGGCTCCCGGATTGCAACTATAGTATTTCCAGGCCTCCAATAACATTTCCAAAAGAAAAGTTTAACTTAACATTACAAGGCTCGAAACAACTACCAAATCAAACATTTGCTCCGTAAAATTGTTCTCGAGACCATTGTTTTTTTAGTATCGTAACAGCGAATCGGTTCAATTATTAATTCATCTCCGAAAAAGTCTCGAATACACTTTCCAAACTCTATGCGTTCATTTTTAGAGCCACTTGGGGAAAAAATATTAGATTCAAGGGCAGTGTCACTTAACCCTCTTCGTATCCTTTAATTATTCAATTCCACGAAGCAAACACCCAAAATACGAAGCTCGAAAAATCATATGGGCGTGAAACTAGAAAACGTTTCTACCGTATGGTCGAGCAATGCGAGTGACCTCCGTTCGCTAAAACTATATTTATCTCTACGCGGCGAAGCACGATGTACTTGGTGTGCTTTAGCTTTATTGTCTCTCTCTTCTCTCCTCCGACAGGAGCCTTTTTTTATCTCTTTTTCGTTCGCGGCCAGCCTCTTTCTTCCTCTGTCGCGCTCCTTCTACGCATTTATTTGTGTCTGCTCTCGTCACCGGATTTAAAATCCGCGCTTCTCGCCGCCACGTGTTTCGAGCCGGCTAAGTTCGCCCCGAAGACGCGTCAGAGGACAGAATTCTGAGAACAAAGATGCACCGAGAGACAACAGGATCCGTGAATCACTCTAGGCTTGCGTTTCGACCGTCTTTCGTTACGTCCTAAGTGGATGTCGCGCGCCGCGCCGCGCCGGCTAAATTGTTGTCGATAGGTCGCGCAACGGTGCCCATATTGTCCAGGTATTATTTCCCGATTTACGTCTGCCGGTTAGCTCATAGATCTAAAATTTTGGAAATTATCAATATTTGTGAATTTCGCCACGTTCAAAAATCCAACTAGTTCTAATTTCAAACATCTGCGAGAAATTTGACGTTGCCCCAATCCATGTCTCATCGATATGGATGTGTTCCTAGCTTCCTTATTATCGCATTAGTGGTTGGATGATGACGATTTCGTCGCAGCGCGACATCCAATTAGGACGTGACAACTGTAATCGCGATCATTTTCGATGACAACGTTCCAGCCCGTCGACAAGATAGGCTTCCCTTATAGCCTCGAGTCAGACACGCATTTTTTCCTTTCATTAGCTAAATCCAGATGCAGTGGTTTTCCTGGTCGCAGGGTTAAATGCGGTTTCAAAGATCTCCCGCCAGACGGTCGGTAGCCGCGTCTGGACGAAAATAAAGTTGCCATCTTTCTGTCTCGCCGTTCTTTCTATCCACGTTTTTCAACCCATGTGTGTCTTGTCATCTGTGGTTTCACCCGCGAATACCGTCTCTACATTGATGCGCGAACACCGACGAGCGTAAACCGCAATTAGCTCTAGGATTAAGATTGATGTGCGCCGGAATATCGACTGAAGACTCCACTTTTAGTGCACTCGGGAGGTGCAGGGACGTTTGAGGAGTTGGTAAAGTTTGTTATATACATTCGTACAAAACAATCCTCGTAATACCTAATTTAAAAAAAGCAGTCGCCGCACACGTTTTTCTCACGCGCAATAATCGCGAGTCGACCTGACGAAAGAATTATGCAAATCTGTATCTCGGTCGCGTGCACGTTCGTTCGCGATAGCGCGCGGTCATCTCTGCGTTGCCTCAAACGTTTCTATCGGCCTGTGTCAGCTTTATCGTCCATGTTTCTTCGACTCCGTTCCACGTTTCGTCGATAACCGAGCGGGCAAAGCAGCTTTTACGGTGAATTGGCGGGAAGATCGCGGAAAACCGGCGGCGAAGTCGAGCGAACACGAAGGCAAAGCGCGCAACGGTTAATTCGATTAAGTTTGTCTTCTTTAAATTGATTATCGACCGACAGCCACGTAGACCGCGAGCTGGCGCATGCCATGAATTAACGCGAACGTGACTGGTCGACGGTGGAATTTCGGAGAAAAAGAAAACGGCTCGACTCGCGGTGGAAAGACGCGCGTCGCGTCGCGTCGCGCCGCTCCGTTCCGGGACTTGACGTAATTAGCCGCGATAAATTGAATTAAACGAGGGGATTTGGATCATTCGAGGACTGGGTAATTGCTCATTTCCATGGATCTACCCCGATCGCGAGGAATCGAAGCAGAAATCGCCTCGGATTCGAGCGACGTGTCTCACGATAGGTATAGGAGACCTTCCGATAAGTAATTATCTTTGGGACGTCGACGGAAATAAGACGTGCACGCGGTTGGCAGGTAGCAAGTATGACAGTGACATTGATAACGAGACCTACGCTTGATTTCGAAGCGTTACATTGACGGTGTGACGGGGTGTAACGTAATAATTAAACGAGCTTTCAGTTCGGGGATCGTGAGCAATTAGCCGACGCCGCCGCGCGTATGCCGAACGAGGTTGCTGTCTCGCGAGCATCCTATCCTTGACGTTCACCGCGGGTAAATCGCTCCTGTGTCTTTTGCTATCAGTTATGGCATGGTTGCCTTCCGCGAAAAACCTCGTGGTCGGGAGAAAAAAATAGTCGCGCGACATTTGGTCGCTGGAAAAGGCACCGTGGCGGTCCCGACGAGTTCGAAGAAGTCGTTGAATCCAGTCGAATACCGGGACGCGTTTCGAGTTTAGAAGAGGCGGACAAAGTCGCGATCCCCGGAGGTCAATCGATCGAACGAGGCACCGCGGTGGCCGCTGATTGATCGTCCGAGGAAAAACGTAGTAGTCCGCGTAACGGTACGATTTGAAGGTGGCTTTACCCTTCATGGAAGCGGTCTCAGCGAGGCGATGGCCTGAATAGAGCCGGGGCTAACGTGCTTCGCTACGCGTATATAAATCTGCTTGGCTGTTTTTCCACCTCTCTCTCTCTCTCTCTCTCTCTCTCTCTGTTTCTTTTCTCTGTTTCCTTGTTGCTGCGCCGATCGTCGATCGCGACGACGTAGGTCGGGTTGAACGGTGGCCATCGCCGTCGTCTTCGTCGTCGATCGGGGTAAATGTCGGACGCACGTGCGCGCAAGAGCAGATCCAACCGACGTCTTTGTGGTTCTCTCGGTCAGCAAGAAACTCGACGGCTACTTCTCTCCGGTTGTTCTTGATTTATTGCCAATCGCGGAGCACGAAGACGCCGCCGCCGCCGCCGCCGCCGCGCCGCGCCGCGGCGGTGGAGCGATCGTGGAGACTCTCTTCTCCGTTGTCGATCCCACGAGATTTTTACTCGTCCAGCTATCTGGCCGAGCTTCTCGATTTCGTTTGGGGTTTATCCATCGGTTTCGTTGTTTTAAGCTTCGTCGATAAGAAAAGATTCTTGCCTCGCGAGAGATTAGAGTTAAACGAGGCTTCGAGTATCTTAATAATGGGGGAGTCGAGAGTGAACTTAAACGAATTTAACTTATTGTTAAATTAGTCGATAGTTTAATATTTAGAATTATTTGGCTGAATGTTGATTTTCGTATGAGTATGCCAACTTCAACGAATTCACGTCTCTGTTGGTTGCAGATCAGAGGCTGAGGCACTCAAAGGGCAGCCTCGACGTTCTCTACTTCAAATTCTCCGACAAAGTGGTCCAGCATCGCGTGACTAGGGCGGAGCTATCCCTCTGGATATGGGGTACGGGCCAGGGTGGCGCAGAGCTGGACGATCCGGGGGATGCGGAGGGCTTGGATAGTTACGAAGACGGTCCAGTGACGATCACGTTGCAAAGGATTCTTCGCGGTGTCACAGAGACTGGTAGTCCGTTGCTGGGACCCGCGTTGACCACCAAACACCCTCGACCGATCGGTAGACGGGGTGGCTGGGTGACGATCGAGCTGAGAAGAATGGTGGCCGAATGGTTCAAGCACCCGAGGGACAATTTGGGTGTGGCCTTGAAGATCTCCGGACCCGGTGGAAATCATCGTAGGAATTCTAAGTTAGTCGAGACGAGTCCAGGGGCGGAATATGCGCCGTACCTCGAGGTGCAAACGCAGGAGCTCGACTCCAGAAGGGGGGCGAGGATCAAAAGAAACGTAGGACTTAATTGCGACGAGGCCAGCCAAGAGACCAGGTGCTGTCGATACAAGCTCACCGTAGACTTTGAGAAGTTTGGCTGGGATTGGATAATCGCGCCCAAAAAGTAAGTGTCTCTGTGATTCTAATTTATTTCTACTTGTAAAATCATCTCTGAAAAAAACATACTCGTGGTTGAACATCTTGTACACAATAATCGCTACGATTCGAGTGCCATTTTCCAGAGTTGTAGCGGTTGGGGTATAAGGAGCGAATCCGCGATTAATTCAGAATCGAAGCGAAAGTAGAACTACGATAATTCTGTATCTATCTGAACCATTGTCTAGTCAGCACCGTGTCTCGTGCGTCTGTTATCGCACGGCCGATATCGGACCAGCGAGGTTCCCATTGATGCTGGATTATCCAAGTTCTACCGCCTTTCTACAACCCAACAAACGCGTAAAGGACACGTTGCAATTTTTCTGTCGCAGGTACGACGCCAATTACTGTTCGGGCGACTGTCCAATGGCCTTTCTCCAGGCCTATCCAAATACCCACATCATTAGCCTGGCGGAACCGCCCAACAACACAGGCCCGTGTTGCGCCCCGAGGAAGCTCTCCGAGATCACGATGCTATACTTCGACAACGAGTACCAGATCGTGTTCTCGCGGTTACCAGGGATGGTCGTCGAAAGATGTGGATGTTCATAGTCCACCTTCCGGCTCGACGGGGAGCAACAACGACGCGGAGAATGTCGAGGATCTCGTTCGACCTCTCGCACGATACGCGATACTCGTGGGCGGTTGTTTTTATTTTTTTTTTATTTTTTACTCATCAAAGGACTCTCGATCGCGACGGTCGTCGATCGTCGTCTTCGTCTTCGTCGTCGTTCCGTCCTCGACGATTCCTCATTCGATAGACTGAAAGTGCCTTGTTTGGGGTGTGTTGGTGCTGCGGTGGCTCACCCATTGGGATACGACGGACGAACGTTTTCGTCCTGATAACGAGCGCAGCAGAAGGGACGGATCGGAAGATCGACCAAGATGCTTTCCGACGAGTTAACACGACAGGCACCTCGATACTGGTCCATGGTCCATGGCAAGGCGGATAGTTCCTAGAGTCTCGGTATTATTTTTAAGGTGTCGATGCGTTTGCACCTGATCTAAGAGAACGACCACGAAAGAATTATTTTTTATACGGGAGCTTGTTACATTTTTGAAAGGTTAAAAGAAAACGTCTCTTCTCTCTCTGTGTCTCTCTTTCTTTGGTGACCGTTTTTTGACAATCCCGACGTTGTCGATGAATAGAATTTTTGCGCACCGGTCGTGCAGAAACGAAAGCATTCTTCATTACGACAGTTTGCCCCTTGTACATCGATGCCTTTCCAAAAGAAAAAGAGAAAAGAAAACGAGGATGCAAAGAAAAAGCGATTCGTTTCCGGTATAGTCGTCGCGTTGATCGGTGAAAACGTGTTGGCCAAAAGATCTCGGTGTACAGTGAAATCGTTGTTTTTCAATGTTCTCCCTTTTCGATTCTTTTACAAGTCTCGTCTCCTCTCCTTACCTTCTCTATATCGCTGCACTATGTCTATGCATATACATACGTATACATAATCCCCAATCCCCCACCCCCCCACCCACCTACCCACCTCAATTCCCCAATTCTTTATTTTAGCGAAGCGTGTGAGTGCGTGTTCGAGAGTGCGTGTGAGGTTTGTGTAAATATGTCGTGCCTAGGCTGCCGTTCTATGTCGCTTCTCCTACGAATCTTTCCGAATCTTTCATTCGAAGGACCCAACGAGGACGTTACTTATATGATACAGGGTGAGTCACGGAAAACAGAACATCCGAGTGTTTTTTTTTTTTTTAGGTTTGAAGCTACGAATGATTTTGTCCAAGTTCCATTATTTTCGAGTTATCGAGGCCATTAACCCGAATTTTTGTAATAAAATTTTACATATATTTATCTATTATAAGGAATACAACACAAACGAAACACAGAAACATAGGTGATATCCATCCATAGAATCGTAACATTTTTTAGATATTTAATCAAACTGCGGAAGTGTCCACTTACTTATCAACCGAGGTGTGTATCGTTGTTCGGTCTACTGACTTCGATCTCCAATTTATTACAATGACCTTGTATTATATACGTCGATGAATTGTCTAAACAAATGCTAATCTTCTTATATCTTATTATAAATAGAATTATGTAAGGTTCCACTTGAGCAACCTTGACCTTAACAACTGTGAAAATAGTTACTTTGACAGAAAAAAAAATATGACAAACAATATTTTTCGTATCTTCAAACCCAACGAATATATTCGAGTGTTCTCTCCCTGTACAGGTGAACGTTGTACCCGACATTAATTTTTGTTTGTTTGTTTTCCTAACGCGATCACGTATATCCTTAGGTATGTTTGTAGATACGAGCTGTATCAACCGAGCCGATCGCACTCGAAAACGAGCAATTTGAACGCTCCGTCATCAGTGTCGAACGAGTTAGTACGAATTTTGCGTCGTGCCGTTTTTAGCCTAAGACCGTCGACGGAGTGCATAAGTGACAATTATAATTTATATATATGTATGTATATCGGTGGCCAAGTTTTGTCCTTTGTCGCCTCGCGATTTGAAGAACGCGATTCACGGGTGTAGAAGGAATCCAAAGGTTCGACCGACGTTGCTTCTCAGCCACGTCTGTTTGTGATTCGGTAAATTATGGTAGTATCGTTGTGATATCTAGTTGCTTGGCTCTAAAGTACGCCGACCGAGTGAGCGTCCCAGTATTCGGAAGATTTCTAGACTTTTTACGTCTTCGAGTACTCTTGGAACCTCCGAACTTTTCGTAATCCTTGTACGGATAGAAATGTTTTCCTGTGATTCTTTTTTTTTTTCTCGCCTAGAGTAAACGTAGAAATTTTACGACGTTAGGTATAATCGATCGAAAACTCTCTCTTTCATGATTCTCTTTTCGCGGGCTTCGAGATTTCTCAGTCAATTGCACCCACCTCCCGCGCAGCTATCCTCTGCGAAACGTTCATCTTGCACATCATTTCTCATGTTTTTTACGCGCGAGTACAGGAGGAGAGTGAATAACAAAAAACGAAAACTAATACCCTTGCAGTTTTGTTCCTTTTGTTTCGTTTTGTTTTTTTAAAGCGATCCGTAGGACTGTAAGAGAGAAACCTTTTGAAAAATTGGTGCCCCCCCCACCCCCCTCCCTCTTCCAATCTTCTCGTCACTTTCCGTCGTATCTTATTTTTGTTTTCTATCCTGTCCCTCTAATCCCCACTCCACGTCCCTTTCATCCACCTATGCGACTGCTACTTTCTCTCATCGCCTGATTCTCATTTCTTCGTTTGTTTGTCAGTGTACCTATAATTAAAAAGTAATGGAATTGTGTACTCCCAGTATCCAAACGAAGGCGGCGAATACTGCATACTTATATATATATATATATAACGTGTACTTCCTAGGTAGAGAGTATTCATAGAATATTTATTCGCTGAAATAAATGGTTTTTCGATGAAACAGCTGTCTCGCTTTATTTCTCTTCGAAATGAGTTGTTTTCTTCTTTTCGACAGATTTCCATCGCTCGTGCTGCATGGGAGCCTTTTCCTTTCTAACTTCGAGGCGAAAACGGAAGAACGGTCTTTTTAATTATTACATTTTATTACTACATGTACCTTAATTCCTTTATCTTTCATCGCAGACAAAGTCGTAAACCGCCAGAGTAAAGAATTGTCAAGTGTCGAAATATTAAAATTACTGACTGTGTAGATGCTCGATGCACTTTACTCGAGTGTTTCCTTTTGCTCTTTAATCACGGTAAAATTCACGAGTGTGACGCGACTCACCGCGATAAACTTTCAGGCCACAGAATGATTATTGTTCCGCGATTCATTTTTGTTTGTCAGCGGAATTACGACGGACGCGCCCGTATTTTTACGGTTTTAAAGTTTACGTATCTTCCTTTTTTCTTCCATTGAAACGCGCAAAAGTTCCATCTTAGTCCTCGTCGAGTACACTTAAATATTAGTATTTTTAATTTTTAATCTCAGGTCAAAGGTAAACGAGCTCAAGTATATTTCGGTACGTATGACTCTTGTTCGCTTAATTAAAAATTTCATTCAAACCGATCTCGCCTTGCAAAACATACCACAATACGTATTTCTCCAGGGACGATTAGTAACTACAACTTCCACGCGGGTGATAACGAAAATCGATTGCAATGTGGAAAGAATTTCGTGTAGTACGACGCAATAAAATGTTATCGAAAAGTATCGTTTACGGATCAACGTCACGAAACGTGGATTAATCGCTTCAAACGAGTTCCAACAAAATCCTAACATGTAACATGTTAATTAAAAACATTGTTTGAAATACTTTGACAAGATTTCGCCATATTTTTATCAAATGTTGCGTCATCTGGTTTTAACTTTATAGTTATAATACGATTACGCAATTTTCCTAATGTTATATAAATAACTCATTGATATTATAAATAATCCTCAATTTGATCGAAAAATACTAGTCTATTTCAATCCTTTGGTGTAAACAAAATATTTCTCACGTGTTTCAAGTTACTTAGTGTTGAACAAATGCAATCGAATTAAAAGTAACATACAGAGATATTTATTAATTACATCTACACATAAAACACGATCCAAACGTGAATCGACACAAGTCACTTTATAAATTGACCGACACAGTCTCCAGGCAATTATTCAATTTTCCAATAACCCAGAGAAGAACCGAATCGCGTGTAACTCAGAAATATCCTCGCATAGAAAGACCAACTTCTCTTCGTTGAATCCAAAATCCGTTAAATCGAGGTTTTCCCGTAATTTTTGTAGCGTCGTGTGTTTAACAAACGTTGTCGCCGTGTTACGTAGTAAGTAATTATCCAACGTTTCAGAAACAAAGCAACAGCGTTGCACTTTTTATTAATCCTATTAGCGCGTAGCTTCTTTTTTTTTCTTTTCTTTCTTTCCTCCCCGCCCCTTCTTTTTTTTTTTAAATTATGCCAACCCTGATGCGCGAGCGTCGCGTATTCCATTATGCAGAATCGAGAAGGTTATCTTTTATTCGCGGGCAAGCGGATCGAAAGGGTGCCAAGGAAAAATTTATTCATTCGATCGGCGCCACTGTATCGATCTGTCAACGAACGGTGGATCGAGAGCAGTAACGACAGTGAGGCGATAAATCTGCGATAAATCTTTCACGAACAATTGCTTCCGCGATGAAAGTATGCCGCGTCGCGGCTCTCTTCTATCTCGTTTTTATTATTGCCACGCTCGTTGACCTAGTATAGAAGAAGCTTCCTTCGTTCGCGAACAAGTTACCGACGAACCTTAGAGGAATCGGTATCAATGCTCCAAGATACGAGGATCGGGGTTTCTCGTGACCCTCTTTACGCAAACGTTTGCTGTATCGTATCGGAATAACGACGTGTTTAACAACGATGTTGCGCTCTCTTCGCGACGGAACGTTGTTAAGTTAATTAGGGTTAATTCCAAATTTTTATCTCTTCGGGTTTATCATACTCCTTGGCACGCTTCGGCGGGCAGAGTGCGTATACCATAGTGACGAACACTGCACCTTATCGAGGGGATGTAATTATATTTTTTTAATTAATGTAATTCGAGTGTTATACGATATTTTACTGTGGATTAGAAAAATCAATAAAATACAAGGGGTAGCCGCCGTTGTCCATTGACCGATTTAATGGAAAATCTTATCCGATCTTGGCACGAGAATTTAAATTTTAGATACCAACAAAGTTTCATTCAAATCCGTTCAACTGTTTAGAACTATCGCGTTAACAGAAATACATACATCGGAGGTTTAACTTTATAATATATTACAGCCCGAGTAATGTCAATGCATATTATATGTTTAAAAAAAGGCATATGCGATTGATAAAAAGAATGACAAAATTGCACTGTTTAGAAGATAGGACGCGTTGTCACCTAAATCTCAATTCCTTATCTGAATCTACAAAAATATGAATTTACATAGACATCTGCGGTCTAATCATTAATATTCCAGGTAAAGCTCTTATTGAAAATGAAAATGATGGTTGATCAGAACCGTGAGTTTTACGAATTTCTAATGATTTTGTCGTTTGGCAAATATTCTGGTGTCCAATTGGTGGGTTTCAGTACAGAATGTGTAAATAAATGAAAATCTTCTATTGTTGTAAAAATGACTCCTAATCAGGACCAACAGTTTTGAATGAACAATTTTTTTTTGAACAATTTTTAATGAATTTATTGTTTGGTAAATATAATATTTTGGCGCGCAATCGAGGGAGCCTCGTTGGCTGAGGCTGGCAGAGGACGCGCGTCGAAATCTCGCTCGTAACACGAGATCTTGCGAGGATGCACGAGCGGACAAGTCAGCCAGTTGACTTTACGGCAGTCAACTGTTTCGCCAGACGTGCCAATTCTCGTTTTATTGTTTTTCTTCGACGGCGCCTCAAGCACTCGTCCTTGCCGACGGTCGGGTTAGTGCTCCCCTTTCGCCGAAACAGAAACACGAAAATTCGCTCGTCGACGCTCGAAACATCGCGCATCGGTTTAATTTCGTCGCGGGACCGGTCGCCGCGCCGGTCGTCC